CCAAGGCAGAGGAGATGCTCAGAGGAGAAAAAAACACATTTTGTGAAGGTTGGTCTTGACACAGCATCTTCAAAACCTGGATGGCAAAGGTGCCATTTGCTTTTGAAAGAGAATCCATGATCCAGGGTCTGGGGGCAAAGAAGACAGAGAAACACAATGAAATGGGGCTCAGAACACTGTGTGTGGTCTCTGCTTGGCTTTCACTTTTCTAGTGAACACAGCTATGGAAGTAGATTATGCATGTGAGGAAGGGGCTGGTCTCTGTAGAGCAACACACTGGCAAGGCAAGGGAGAGCAGAAAAGCATGCAGGGAACAGCAGATGACAGGTCAAAACAAGAGCAGGGAGGTGGTAGGTGTGAAGCCAGAGGAGGTGGAGTGAAAACACCAGTGGGCAGCTCTATGCAGTAAGACCCTCCCTCACGAGGGGATGGACTTAAACCTAGGGAATCCTCCCTGGGGACTCCTTCCCATTTCTTCAAGGTCCCCCCAAACCTATTGTCCAGGCCTGCCTTCAGACCCCTTCCAAATCTTTCTACCCCACTCCACTTCTCCAGTCCCTGTGACCCTGTGCCTAGTCCAGACCTGCCTCCTCTGCAGAGCCTCTGACCTCCCTGCCCCTAGGCTCTCCATTGTGATCAGCCCTTGCTCACTAAAATGCAATTATAGTGGACTAGGGAGCCTCAGAACATTGGCTCCCCCATCAGAACCCCAGATGGACAGACACATAGCATCCTGAGAAGGATGTATTATCTTGATCCTATGACCTTCCCTTAAATCTCCAGTGGACCTGGAAATAAGCTCAAAAATGCCTTTTCTAAATGGCTTCCCATCTGCCTGGCCCCATCCCCTGCTCCAGCCTCCCACCTCTCACAGCCTACACCTCTACCCTCCCTGATCCCCCCATCACCTCTGAGCCTTGAAAAACAGTGATATCCAACTTAAAAGACTCCCTACACCATCCCTGTCACCAGGCTCCAATCACTCCCTCCTCCCTCCTAGGCTCAGCACCAGGAGACCTCTGATGTCCTGGAGCTCCCCACTCCCCCACCCTGACTCTTTACTCCTTATTGTAATTCTTTGTCTCTTCTATTGTTGGACCCACAAGACTGGCTGCTCCTGCAGGAAAGGTGCCTGGTATCCTGAGTCTAAGCACCTGGAAATATGCTCAGGAAACAGCAAGAACTCCATCAATTAGGAGAGAATCTCAGATGAATAAAGGGTGCTGGGATTTTGAATTGGAGAGTGGAGATTTTAAAAGCACAGTGAAAGGTAAGGCAGAAGTCATGCTGTGACTCCCTGAGGAGAGGAGAGGGGAGAATATAGGGCCATTAGGAGGGAGCTGTGTTGGAGCTTGAACCCCCACC